AAAAATCGGACAAGCAATGAGGGCTTTACTTTAGGGCTTTTGATTGCCTTTTCTTTTTTAGAGACGATGCTAGGTCGCTGGTTGCTTATTTTCTTTATGATTATCTGGTTGCGTACTTTTAATACATTGATTGTTATCTTTTATTTTTAGAACGGTTAGGTGGAATCTTAGCTTTTTCGATAGGCTGTCCGGTATGTTAGTTCGCAAACATTCAAGTTTAGGTACCGAAAGGGCATTAGTTAGATCGCCAGTGTAATCAAGTCCCCGAATTTTGGAATCTCTGATTTTCGCACGTATTGAGACGACACTCCCGCGTCTCGATCAGGGTTTCTAGCCAACCCTTGATCATGGCTAGTGGCGACTCCAATGAAATGTATAGTTTAGATAATTCTCGTCGCATAAGGTATGAGGCTTGGGAGTGCCTCGATCCTTGGATTAATGAACCATTTGGTTCGTCTTTCAAACGAATCAATCGATGTTCGTATCTATCGACAAATACCTCTTGGCCTAACCGATCGGGACGGGTAGGTCGCGACAGCTTGGCGACTCCACTGGGGACTTGAGGACTTAGGCCTAATAAACATGACTGTTTGTTAACTAACGTGGTCTTATGGCAGCGTATCGTGAAGGCTAAGGTAAGTCCACTAACATTGTGTTAAATGGTTTTGTAGGTTGGGAGTTATAAGGGGTGCAGTGATTGTTGACATGTTTGTTTTGCAGGTTGGTGTAAAGGGTGTACGTGTATGTGAATGAAAATTGAAGTATTGTTTTGATATCAACTGTTGTGCATGCTTTTACCTGCTTTAGCACTACACCTTGCACACACAACCCGCTATCTAAAACCCCAATCGCCTTAGGAAATCCATAGGAGGTGCCAAAAGTGTGGAAACCGTGCGGGGAAGGACCCATGGCTATCCCCTTTTGGTTCCGCCCATTTTCAAATAGTGATAAAGAGGAATGTCCGACGTAAGTGCGGAATGAGGAAAACTCTTTTGATCTATTTGGGATGGGGACCTTTAGCCTTTAGAACTCCCACCTTTAGTGAGCTTCACGAGTCGGCATGCGACTTGTTTTTGTGTTTGACATATCCACCATTTTTGGGTAATGGTTTGTATCTCCTTCGCGTTCAATAATCGCAACCCCTTTTTTCCATGCGAATTTAAATTTACTTCGTAATAAATAGTGATTGATTTAAATGCCCCTAGGCTTAGATATCATGGGCCTCGATGAACTTCGGATCCTCTCGATCCCGAAGCGAGTGTTGTTGGACATGTGGGATGCTCTCGACCCAAGCAAGAAGAACTACGTGGAAAAGAAGATCGGCCACCTCCTTTCTCTTTTACATATAGAACCCCAAGTGACATTGATCAAAGCCTTGGGCCACTTTTGGAACCCCGAAACCTCAACCTTAGTGTTTGATCGTCACGAATTAACCCCGACTTTGGAGGAAATTCAAATCATCATGGGCGATGTCCCTTCCCTTAGTGTCGTCGATCCTTCTTTAGGCGTGGATCCAATCCCTCGTTTGAGTCAAATTCTAGGGGTCCCGCCGTCCGAAATTAGGACAATCCTCAATAGAAACTCCAAGGGTCTCCCACTAGCTTTCCTTGAAGAACGATTCCATAGCTTCCTTTCGAGTCCTAGAGCCGAATCTGTTAAAGTCTTCCTATTAGCCTTCTTCAGGTTTGTCATCTTTCCCTTCAGTCAAAAAACAATGGACCCCACTGTCGTCCATGTTATCGATAGGATCCTCGTCCTTAAAGGGTTTACCAACATGATCCTCGCCGAAATGTTCATCTCTCTCAATCGTTTCAAGAAGGACAAGCGTGTAGCCCTTAGAGCCCCCTTAGGTATTCTCCAAGTCTGGTTTGTGTCTCACTTGAAACAATTCGGTGGAAACTTAACCATTCCTCATGTTAGTAAGGACATAAATCCCCTTACCCAATTCAAAGAGATAGAAAAATTCCTTCGTCCTTGGACCTTTCGTAATTGGGTAGACTTCCTCGAGAATCTTGCACCTAAACAAGTTCTTTGGCAAGCCCTTTGGGTTCATTTTCCTAAAGTATGTCTTACAAGCGGCCATAGTGACCCAATTCCACTCTTAGGTTTGACGGGATCGACTTCTTATTATCCTTTAAGAGTCGCCCGTCAATTATATGTGCTTCAAGAAATCTCTCCTCATCTAAAGTCGGGTTTATTTCGTTTTGATTTTCGCAATGGGGTTATCAAGGGAGACCAACTCGAGGAATTGAAGAACGAGGTGAAACGAATCATCGATTTACTTTACCGCTACCAACCGAAGGATGTGGAGCGAGCCACCGACTTGGAAGGATCCATGAAGGAGCACCATGCATCAAAGGAATACATAGCGCGACGTGTCGAGCCCGAGCTCGCCGTCACCATCCCAAAATTTCCCGTGATTGCAACCCCCAAGGAGACTCAAATGGGGCGGATCATAAGAGAAAGGGACGAAGCCCTAGCTGAGGCAGAACATTGGCAGAAAGCTTACAAGCGCGTCCGCAACATGCTGTGAAGAGGCCCTATATCCAAGAATAGTCATGTTCTATTAGTTTCTTTTAGGGTGTTCTTTTAATTATCTTGGAATTGATGTATATTGCTTTTTCTTTTCATGAACTTTTAGGGCAAATGTCTAGGTATGCTTTTTACTATTTAGCGGATGTATAGGGATCTCCTTTCACAAATTTTGATGTAATTAGTGAAATTCCCTCTTTTGTAGGTTGAATGGAACATGACATGGGCATTTTAATCAATCACTATGTGTTACTCCCTTTAATTGTATAATTTCTTATAGTGAAATTTTTATAAGAAACCGTTTACATGAGATGCAGCTTGTGCAAAAAGTTTCTTATCTCAGTTTCATCGTAAGAAAATATAAAATTAAAAGGTACACAACTTTCGTTCTGTCACTTCATCGCGTACTAATTTCATTCTTTTTGTTTTATTTTTTTAAAAAACAGGTGCCGAAACTACGGCTTCGAGGCAATCGCCGATTCGGACACGATCAAGGGCCACGCAAATGAATATTGAAGAGCAAAACGCCCGTTTCGCTGCTCTCGACAACAAGATCAATGATCTTGCGGCTCAGCTCACTCAATTCGCCAATGTTATGAGGACCGCGTTAGCAGCGCCGAATGCTGGTCAAGTTGCACCTCAAGCTGTTCCCGAGCCTGTAGAAGGACCCGCGAGAAGGAATGTTACTGAGGAGGCATTGGGTTCTACACCCGTAGTGGTTGAACTAGACCCCATTTCGGAAGCCGTCACCGCCCGTTTGGAGGAAGAACACAACAAAATGTTCGCGAAGATATAAGAGAAACTCCATGCGCTACGAGGATACGAAGAGCATATGATCGAGGATTTGTCTCGATATGCACAGATGAGCTTTCCTGAGAAGTTCAAAATTCCTGATTTCACTAAGTATGATGGGACTGGAGACCCAAAGATCCACTTGAAGTACTATTTGAACAGGATGGCGAGGTATGCCCAGAATGTCCCATTAATGGTTCAAACCTTCCAAGAGAGTCTGACGGGGCCTACATTGCAATGGTACGTGTTGTCGGAGCCCGAGAAGTTCGAGAAGTGGAAAGAGTTAGCTGAGGCGTTCGTCCTGCAATACAAGTACAATACCGAGATAGCCCCCACGCGCAAAGTGTTGACTCGAACTGAAAAGAGAAGAAGTGAGTCCTTCAGAGCCTTCGCTCAAAGATGGCGTACTCTCGCCGCTCAAGTTCGACCCCCGCTCAGTGAAAAAGAGCTACTGGATCTTTTCCTCAAAGTCTTGCCTAACGATTTCTATTTAAAGTTGGTGGGTTCTGGCTGCTTGACCTTCTCTCAGCTGGTAGATGTCGGAGAGAGGATAGATGGGGCCATGCATGATGGTAGATTGAACGAAGGGACTAGTCGGAAGGTCCCGAACAGAAAAGAAAAGGATGTGGAGATCGCATATGTACAAGCGCCAGTTGCGACGAAGCCCCTTGCCTCATCCTCTCAAGGCCCCTCTGTGTTTCGAGAGAGGGCATATCAGAATCATGATTTTAAAAGGAGAGCACCGAGGGAGTTCACTCCCCTGCCTAGGCCACTATCCAAGTTGTTGCCCATGCTGTTGAGAAGGGGGATGATAGCTAAAGAAGTGCCTCGGGATAACCCTCCAAGATTCCCCGGGTTCGATTTGTCAAAGTCCTGTGAGTTCCATAGAGGCGAAAAGGGTCATGATGTGGACAACTGCTTCACTCTTAAGATCAAGGTTCAGAATCTGCTCGACAAAGGTATTTTATCCTTTAAGGATCCAACCCCTAATGTTCAACAAAACCCGTTGCCTAATCATGTTGAGAATGTCAACGTGGTTATTGAGAAGAGTGATGAGAGTAAGCAAACCTTTAATGTGGATGTTCATAGACTCTATAAATTACTAGTGTCAGCTGGACACTTTGAAGATGGGGAGGATATTCCGATGGAAGAAAAATTAAAATGTATCACTCGGATGGTGGACATGAAAGTAATCTATAGTATGAAGGAAGATAATATGACGGCCATGACGGCTGTTATTGACTCATTTTGTGAGAAGGAGACGGAGGAGACACCTGTTGAACCTACAGAAACTAACGAGCCAACTAATGAGGGTGTGTCGGAGAGTCTAATTGTGACCGACAGTGAAGGAGAGAATTTGTAAGATGATCTTGGGCCTCAAGCTAGCAATGTGGATTGGAATCGTGAGTTCATAAAGCTCGCTCACGAGAATGGGGAAGTGGTTGACACACTGGGTCAACCTAGCGGCAAATTCGACTACCTTGTGAAGTATTCACCGCCACCCAGTTTCTTCATCGATCCCAAGGATGTTGTTCCTGATGGGTGGAAAGGTATGGACGACCCACCCGAGCCTGAAGAGGAGACGGTCAACATGATCACCCTCGTTTATGGTATGGAAGCGGTCTTACCTCAGAGTTGAAAAAACGTGTGTGGCTTTGGTGTGGGTATTACACCGCTTACGCCAATACACACTCCATCATCGGATCCTGCTCGTAACTGAGAATGATCCCATCAAATATTTGCTGGAAAAACCACGGCCACGAGTAATTAGCATGGCCATCATAATTAGCATGGCCTCCACGACCACCACGGCCCCCATGCTGACCTCGACCTCCGACACTGCCTCGTCCTCCATGGTTATCTCGGCCACCAGAATCGTCTCCATGATAACCTAGGCCTATCCTTTTGCGCCACTTGGAGACCTGAAGGGGTTTTTTTATAACTTGGCCATGCAGTCCCAGGCCGGTTCCGGGGACATGACCATTTTCGAGCAACACCTTACTCGACATGATTGAAGACTTAGCCATTTCTAGGTCTCGCATGATGGTTCCAACGGGCACATGGACCATCGAGACTAAGTCCAAAGTTTGATAGCTTGATTCAGCCTTGTTCTCGGGTTCCACATATGGGATCGCAGTGTCGTGAAAGACCTTAAAGTCAGTTTCTCCATGAATAGTTACCAGCTTCCCATCAATGATGAATTTGACCTTTTGGTGCAGGCTCGAGGGTACGGCTCTGGCGGTATGTATCCAAGGTCGTTCTAGTAGAAAATTGAAGGCACTAGGAATATCGAGGACTTGGAAGCTGACCAGAAAAAGGACTGGACCAATTAGCAGTTCGAGCTCAACCTCACCAATTACTTCCTTCTTCATACCGTCAAAAGCACGAACGGTAGATTTAGATACCAGCATTTTCTTTTCATTTACCCCCAGACGACGAAGGGTGGCAAGTGGGCAAATGTTTAATGCCGATCCATTGTCAATCAGCACTCTCGCCACCATTCTATCGCGACACTTTACCGAGATGAACAGCGCCTTAGTATGATTGCGACCTCCTGGAGGAAAATCTTCATCGGCAAAAGAAATCTGATCTTTCAGCAAGATAGACCCAACAAACTCCTCCAATTGGGTGTCATTAATAGTTTCGGGAACGTGTACTTCATTTAGAATCTTGAATAGTGCATTTTTATGTTTCTTGGAGGATTTGAAAAGATCCATAAGTGATATCTGGGCCGGCATCTTCCTCAGCTGATTGACAACATCAAATTCGCTAGTCTTAATAATTGCTAAAAATTGTTCGGCCTCTTCATTTGAAACAGCCCTTTTCTCAACCACCTTGGTGGGATCATAACATCGACCCGAGCGAGTGACATCATCGATTTCACTTACCTTGTAACTCCAAGGGACCGCCTTAGCATTGTAACTAGGGACCATTTCCACTATTATGTCGTCTTCGTCCTCTGGCGAGAGTTCAATCGTCATCGGTTCCATGACATGATCATCGACCTCTAGGGTAGTGAACTCTTCTGCCATAACGTCGATGACCACATGCTCGACATCTCGTTCATCGGGATCTGATAGATCTTCTTCGACTGATAGATCGATGACCACGGGGGTGATCATGTTGACCGTCTCCTCCTCAGGCTCGGGTGGGTCGTCCATACCTCCCCACCCATCAGGAACAACATCCTTGGGATCGATGAAGAAACTGGGTGGCCGTGAATACTTCACAAGGTAGTCGAATTTGCCGCTAGGTTGACCCAGTGTGTCAACCACTTCCCCATTCTCGTGAGCGAGCTTTATGAACTCACGATTCCAATCCACATTGCTAGCTTGAGGCCCAAGATCATCATACAAATTCTCTCCTTCACTGTCGGTCACAATTAGACTCTCCGACACACCCTCATTAGTTGGCTCATTAGTTTCTGTAGGTTCAACAGGTGTCTACTCCGTCTCCTTCTCACAAAATGAGTCAATAACAGCCGTCATGGCCGTCATATTATCTTCCTTCATACTATAGATTACTCCCATGTCCACCATCCGAGTGATACATTTTAATTTTTCTTCCATCGGAATATCCTCTCCATCTTCAAAGTGTCCAGTTGACACTAGTAATTTATAGAGTCTATGAACATCCACATTAAAGGTTTGCTTACTCTCATCACCCTTATCAATAACCACGTTGACATTCTCAACATGATTAGGCAACGGGTTTTGTTGAACATTAGGGTGTTGGATCCTTAAAGGATAAAATGCCTTTGTCGAGCAGATTCTGAACCTTGATCTTAAGAGTGAAGCAGTTGTCCACATCATGACCCTTTTCGCCTCTATGGAACTCACAGGACTTTGACAAATCGAACCCGGGGAATCTTGGAGGGTTATCCCGAGCCACTTCTTTAGCTATCATCCCCATTCTCAACAGCATGGGCAACAACTTGGATAGTGGCCTAGGCAGGGGAGTGAACTCCCTCGGTGCTCTCCTTTTAAAATCATGATTCTGATATGCCCTCTCTCGAAACACAGAGGGGCCTTGAGAGGATGAGGCAAGGGGCTTCGTCGCAACTGGCGCTTGTACATATGCGATCTCCACATCCTTTTCTTTTCTGTTCGGGACCTTCCGACTAGTCCCTTCGTTCAATCTACCATCATGCATGGCCCCATCTATCCTCTCTCCGACATCTACCAGCTGAGAGAAGGTCAAGCAGCCAGAACCCACCAACTTTAAATAGAAATCATTAGGCAATGCTTTGAGGAAAAAATCCAGTAGCTCCTTTTCACTGAGCGGAGGTCGAACTTGAGCGGCGAGAGTACGCCAACTTTGAGCGAAGGCTCTGAAGGACTCACTTCTTCTTTTTTCAGTTCGAGTCAACACTTCACGCGTGGGGGCTATCTCGGTATTGTACTTGTATTGCAGGACGAACGCTTCAGCTAACTCCTCCCACTTCTCGAACTTCTCGGGCTCCGACAACACGTACCATTGCTAACTCTTGGAAGGTCTGAACCATTAATGGGACATTCTGGGCATACCTCGCCATCCTGTTCAACTAGTACTTCAAGTGAATCTTTGGGTCTCCAGTCCCAACATACTTAGTGAAATCAGGAATCTTGAACTTCTCAGGAAAGCTCATCTGTGCATATCGAGACAAATCCTCGATCATATGCTCTTCGTATCCTTGTAGCACACGGAGTTTCTCTTCTATCTTCGCGAATCTTTTGTTGTGTTCTTCCTCCAAACGGGCGGTAACGGCTTCCGAAATGGGATCTAGTTCGACCACTACTGGTGTAGAACCCAATGCCTCCTCAGTAACATTCCTTCTCGCGGGTCCTTCTATGGGCTCGGGAACAGCTTGAGGTGCGACTTGACCAGCATTCGGTGCTGCTAACGCGGTCCTCATATCATTGGCGAATTGAGTGAGTTGAACCGCAAGATCATTGATCTTGTCGTCGAGAGCAGCGAAACGGGCGTTTTGCTCTTCAATATTCATTTACGTGGCCCTTGATCGTGTCCGAATCGACGATTGCCTCGAAGCCGTAGTTTCGGCACCTGTTTTTTAATAAAATAAAACAAAAAGAATGAAATTAGTACGCGGTGAAGTGACAGCACGAAAGTTGCGTACCTTTTAATTTTATATTTTCTTAGAATGAAACTGAGATAAAAAACTTTTTGCACAAGCTGCATCTCATGTAAACGGTTTCTTATAAAAATTTCACTATAAGAAATTATACAATTAAAGGGAGTAACACATAGTAATTGATTAAAATGCCTATGTCATATTCCATTCAACCTACAAAAGAGGGAATTTCACTAATTACATCAAAATTTGTGAAAGGAGATCCCTATACATCCGCTAAATAGTAAAAAGCATACCTAGACATTTACCCTAAAAGTTCATGAAAAGAAAAAGCAATATACATCAATTCCAAGATAATTAAAAGAACACCCTAAAAGAAACTAATAGAACATGACTAGTCTTGGATATAGGGCCTCTTCACAGCATGTTGCGGACGAGCTTGTAAGCTTTCTGCCAATGTTCTGCCTCAGCCAGGGCTTCGTCCCTTTCTCTTATGATCCGCCCCATTTGAGTCTCCTTGGGGATTGCAATCACGGGAAATTTTGGGATGGTGACGGCGAGCTCGGGCTCGACACGTCGCGCTATGTATTCCTTCGATGCATGGTGCTCCTTCATGGATCCTTCCAAGTCGGTGGCTCGCTCCACATCCTTCGGTTGGCAGCGGTAAAGTAAATCGATGATTCGTTTCACCTCGTTCTTCAATTCCTCGAGTTGGTCTCCCTTGATAACCCCATTGCGAAAATCGAAACGAAATAAACCCGACTTTAGAGGAGGAGGGATTTCTTGAAGCACATAGAATTGACGGACGACTCTTAAAGGATAATAAGAAGTCGATCTCGTCAAACCTAAGAGTGAAATTGGGTCACTATGGTCGCTTGTAAGACATACTTTAGGAAAATGAACTCAAAGGGCTTGCCAAAGAACTTGTTTAGGTGCAAGATTCTCGAGGAAGTCTACCCAATTACGAAAGGTCCAAGGACGAAGGAATTTTTCTCTCTTTGAATTGGGTAAGGGGATTTATGTCCTTACTAACATGAGGAATGGCTAAGTTTCCACCGAATTGTTTCAAGTGAGACACAAACCAGACTTGGAGAATACCTAAGGGGGCTCTAAGGGCTACACGCTTGTCCTTCTTGAAACGATTGAGAGAGATGAACATTTCGGCGAGGATCATGTTGGTAAACCCTTTGAGGACGAGGATCCCATCGATAACATGGATGAAAGTGGGGTCCATTGTTTTTTGAGTGAAGGGAAAGATGACAAACCCGAAGACGGCTAATAGGAAGACTTTAACGGATTCGGCTCTAGGACTCGAAAGGAAGCTATAGAATCGTTGTTCAAGGAAAGCTAGTGGGAGACCCTTAGAGTTTCTATTAAGGAGTGTCCTAATTTCGAACGGCGGGACCCCTAGAATTTGACTCAAACAAGGGACTGGATCCACGCCTAAAGAAGGATCGACGACACTAAGGGAAGGGACATCGCCTATGATGATTTGAATTTCCTCCAAAGTCGGGGTTAATTCGTGACGATCAAACACAAAGGTTGAGGTTTCGGGGTTCCAAAAGTGGCCCAAGGCTTTGATCAATGTCACTTGGGGTTCTATATGTAAAAGAGAAAAGAGGTGGCCGATCTTCTTTTCCACGTAGTTCTTCTTGCTTGGGTCGAGAGCATCCCACATGTCCAACAACACTCGCTTCGGGATCGGGAGGATCCGAAGTTCATCGAGGCCCATGATATCTAAGCCTAGGGGCATTTAAATCAATCACTATTTATTACGAAGTAAATTTAAATTCGCATGGAAAAAGGGGTTGCGATTATTGAACGCGAAGGAGATACAAACCTTTACCCAAAAATGGTGGATATGTCAAACACAAAAACAAGTCGCATGCCGACTCGTGAAGCTCACTAAACTAAAGGCTAAAGGTCCCCATCCCAAATAGATCAAAAGAGTTTTCCCAATTCCGCACTTACGTCGGACATTCTTCTTTATCACTATTTGAAAATGGGCGAAACCAAAAGGGGATAGCCATGGGTCCTTCCCCGCACGGTTTCCACACTTTGGCACCTCCTATGGATTTCCTAAGGCGATCGGGGTTTTAGATCGCGGGTTGTGTGTGCAAGGTGTAGTGCTAAAGCAGGTAAAAGCATGCACAACAGTTGATATCAAAACAATACTTCAATTTTCATTCACATACACGTACACCCTTTACACCAACCTGCAAAACAAACATGTCAACAATTTCTCCACCCCTTATAACTCCCAACCTACAAAACCATTTAACACAATGTTAGTGGACTTACCTTAGCCTTCACGATACACTGCCATAAGACCACGTTAGTTAACAAACAGTCATGTTTATTAGGCCTAAGTCCTCAAGTCCCCAGCGGAGTCGCCAAGCTTTCGCGACCTACCCGTCCCGATCAGTTAGGCCAAGAGGTATTTGTCGATAGATACGAACATCGATTGATTCGTTTGAAAGACGAACCAAATGGTTCATTAATCCAAGGATCGAGGCACTTCCAAGCCTCATACCTTATGCGACGAGAATTATCTAAACTATGCATTTCATTGGAGTCGCCACTAGCCATGATCAAGGGTTGGCTAGAAACCCTGATCGAGACGCGGGAGTGTCGTCTCAATACGTGCGAAAATCAGAGATTCCAAAATTCGGGGACTTGATTACACTAGCGATCTAACTAGTGCCCTTTCGGTACCTAAACTTGAATGTTTGCGAACTAACGTACCGGACAGCCTATCGAAAAAGCTAAGATTCCACCTAACCGTTCTAAAAATAAAAGATAACAATCAATGTATTAAAAGTGCGCAACCAGATAATCATAAAGAAAATAAGCAACCAGCGACCTAGCATCGTCTCTAAAAAAGAAAAGGCAATCAAAAGCCCTAAAGTAAAGCCCTCATTGCTTGTCCGATTTTTGGGAAAATTTTCAAAGGTTTTCTCAATTTTTACAAGTTTTAAACTAAGTATAGAATGAGAAAAACACTAATATCTAGTGAAATTAAGCCCAAAAATGATTTCTGAACATTTCCTAATCTTCTGGATTTTTTGGAATTTTTCTGAAATTTTCTGATTTTTTTTTAATTTTTTTCAGGCTTTTTAAATATTTTTTGGATTTTTAAACATTTTCGATTTTTTTTTTGAATTTTTAATATTTTTTTGAATTTTTAAATATTTTTTAATGTTTTTATTAATAAAATAAGGATTCGGACCGGATCCCCTGACCCGATCCGCCCGACCTCTGACCCGGCATTCCAACCCGCCCGGGACCCCATTTTCATTTCTTTTCTATTTTTTTTTTATTTTCCCCTTTTTCTTTTTCCTTTTTCTTTTGTTTATTTTCTGTTTTTCTATTTTTTATTATTCTTTCCTCCCCTACGTGCTTTTTCCATGCACATACAGTTCACCACCGAGACTTCTTCTTCTGCCGAGACCACACCATGACCACTTCTCGGCCTCCGACCTACGGTGCGCGCCGCGAACGCCAACGACCGACATCGGGTTTTCACTCTCACCGCTGATCGCCACACCCACCGAACCGTCGGCTAACTCCGGCCACGAAAAAGGACACCGGCAACCAAACACCGATATCGACTTCCATTTTTTATATCTCGACATCTCAACCACATCTAAAACTCTAAATCTATACACACATAAAACACACAAAACAAGGATGGGAAACTGACCACGGCGGCTTCTAACCGCGGGCATCGCTCCGGCGAGAGGAGTGAGTCTCCGGAAGGTGCTCGTCCACGGCCGACGACGGGGATCGACAAGTATGCCACGAAATCACACAGAAACATAGATAGCTTGAAGTCAACAACAAGACTAGAATAAATCGAGCATATGACAAAGTTCTAGAGTGTCGATTTCACAAAAACATATTCGGAGCTTCACTTAGACATTTTATCGAACACCTTGTAGGCGAGTACAGGCGGAGGCCCAAAACTGAGATTGAGGGCCATTTTTGGCTCAAAGATGATATATAAAGCTCTAATCAACCCTATCTAGACATGGGTTCAACTCGGCTTGCACCGAAATGCCAAAGAGATGTACAATCAGGTTCGACGTTACAAAGCTTAAGTGGTCTGGTTTGGACATTTGATCAAACAGGTGTGGTGCAGCTGAAAAGTGGATTCGCAGATCTGATTTTGACAAAGTTTATGGTCGATTTTCGACATACAACTTTTAGAAAGAGTTTACTAAGTGTCAAACAAATGTTAGCCTCCGTCGACGGGGCCAGGCGATCACCGAATGGACTCGGTGTGCCCGGCACCCAAGAGGCAGGGGAAGGGAGGCCGAAACAGAACAAGACCTTATTCGGGGCCTACCTGGTTCGTGACTGACTCTACGGCGGCCGAAGGCTTAGCCTCCGACGACAACTCAGGCGAATCACTGGCGAACTAGCGACTCCTCTCCGGGCTCTCTTTCTCGGTTCCTTCTCTC